TTAGTGTTTTATTAATATTGGCATATCTGAGATATGTGTTAATTCACTGGCAAGTAATAGCAATAAAAAAGTGACCATTTGGGTGCTTTTGGCTTAGGGTTTATTTTTGCTGCTGTATTGGCAGAATACTGAAATGCAGAAGATGGATGTGTTCCAGAGAAGAAGATGGTAATCACAGGGAGGCATATGCTGTGACATAGTTATGTTCTTTACCTGTTACCTGAATCTCGTACTAATTGCAAGCAAAGAAGGTAGACCGTATTGTCTTCATTTTGTGATGGATGGCTCTTTCCTTTGCAGCCAAACAGGCAAAAAGTTAATGGCGAAGTGCCGAATGCTTATCCAGGAGAATCAAGAGCTTGGAAGGCAGCTGTCCCAGGGACGTATTGCACAACTTGAAGCAGAGTTGGCTTTACAGAAGAAATATAGTGAGGAGCTTAAAAGCAGTCAGGATGGTAAGGGGGTTTTTGAAAAGTTTGGTTAATGTTGCACTGGCTTTAAAAAACTGCCAGGCATGAATATTTCAGATTAGGTTCTCTACATGGTAATCTCTAGCCAATGGGTCTGTAAAATTATGAATGAAACATATCTAGTTAGTTAGCAGACAAAGCCATTTAATTGTAGTGGTTTTCTCCCCACTCTCCTGATTGTTTGTGTAAATTTCATAAGTTTTTGTTTTTCAGGGTGGAGTTTGGTAAAAGAGAAAGGCTATTACATTACTAAGGCATTACACAGATCTACAAATTTATAATCAGTGCTTTCAAAGGAGAATATTTTTATTTAACCAATTTCTCTAATTGTAAATCTTGTAAGTATTTGGCTACTTCCAGTGGTCTAAAAGTATATCATGGATTGTACCTGTTGAGGTTCTATTTAATGAATAAAAAATCATATTTAAATTTGCTAAGACAAACCACCATCCATGTCAGCCACCATCCTTTTTTCGGGCAAGTATGTAGGTGTTTCCTCCTCTTTATGAGGAAGATTAATAGTAAGGAAAATATCTAAACTCTGAAAATTAAATTATTAATTACTATATCAAATAGTTAATTGCAAAGATTAGTAGTCAAATATCTTTAAAACTACCTTTTCAAAGTGAGTTCTTAGCTCTTACTCTTTGTAAACACAGTAAATCTGAGATTTTGTATAGTAGTGAGGACTTCTTCCCCCAGAAGCTTTTAGATCTTAATGGACATTTGTATTCATAAATTTTCAAGAGTTATTTTCTCTGTTGGGTTGTTTTGTTTTTTTGGTGTGGAATGGTCCCTTGGTTACAGCCTAGGCCTCTTTGGAGTGTTAGAGTCGAGGACCACATTGTTCCCTAGGGGCTAACCCAGCTGTGGAGCTGAAAAGAATCACTTGCTAAGAGGATGAATAAGAGAACCAGGCATGTGGGTCCACTGGTTAAAACCAGGGGTGGGGAACCTTTTTTCTGCCAACGGCTATTTGGGTATTTATAACATCATTTGTGGGCCAAAATTCTCAACTTAAAAATTAGTCTGCTATATTTGGTCAAACAGTTAATTAACTCTCCCCTAATGCCTTGACAGGGCCAGACCAAATGATTTCCTGGGCCTTACATGGCCCGTGGGCCGGATGTTCCCCAATCCTGGAAACAAGCCTGAAGCAGATTTTATGGGCTGTAATCAGTTGTATATGGCTAGATGGTTTGAGTCAATTTAAACTTGGTTGCTTTAATATATTTATTTTAACCATCTACTCCCCCCCCCCCCCCCCAAGAAAAAAAGAAAACACAAACAAACCAACTCATTCTTGAATGGCTGTTTTAAAATTCCAAGCAAAATTTAAAAAATCAATTTTAGAATTGAAGTATTGTAAAATATGTTATAAAAGATATTAAAGTAGGTTTGACTCTCCTTTGCACAGAACTGAATGACTTCATCATTCAACTTGACGAAGAAGTAGAGGGTATGCAGAGTACCATTCTAGTTCTTCAGCAACAACTGAAGGAGACACGCCAGCAGTTGGCTCAGTACCAACAGCAGCAGGCTCAAGCCCCAGCCCCAAGTACCAGCAGGACTACATCTTCTGAGCCTGTAGGACAGGCAGAGGCCCCAGGTAAAGACTGCAGTCGGCTGGCCAACGGACCAAGCAACGGCAGTTCCTCCCGGCCGAGGACGTCTGGGTCTGGATGTCACAGGGAGGGGGACACCACTGAAGATGGCTTTCCTTCTTCTCCAGGGAATGGTAATAAGGCCTCCAACAGCTCAGAGGAGAGAACTGGCAAAGGAGGTAGTAGTTACGTAAACCAACTCAGTGCGGGGTATGAAAGTGTAGACTCTCCCACGGGCAGTGAAAACTCTCTCACACACCACTTAAATGACACAGACTCCAATCATGACCCTCAAGAGGAGAAAACAGTGAGTGGGAAAGGTAACCGAACTGCGGGTTCCCGCCACATTCAGAATGGCTTGGACTCAAGTGTAAATGTACAGGGCTCAGTTTTGTAATATTTTTCCAGCAAATTTTTATACAGTGTCATTTAATTTGGGAGAGGATGCTATCAGAAAATTAATGCATACTTTTGTCACAATTTGCCTTTTTTGGTGGGTGTGTTTTTTTTTCTTTGCTTCAATACCTCTGCCACTTTGGAAATTGTAACAGTTAATTACTTTGTTGCTAAAAGGACATTTTGTGTAAGGTCAGGTTATTTTTATATGAGTTTAATGTGAAATTGTAAATGGAACTCTTTCCTTAAAGTATAACACAATGATGTCTGTATAAATCTGTGTCTCTCTAGAACCTGTGCTGTGTAGGGCATTCTTACTCATGCTGTTACTATGCTTATGCACCATTCAGACTTGTTAGAGTAGATGTGGGTTTATGACTGCCAAGTTTGCCCAGTACAGTAGTTTTATCACTAAAAGTTGGACTTGTTGATGGAGTCCTATGGTAGTTTCAGTGTTAGATACAGTTTTTTTTCCACCATCTGCATTTTCTCTTTAGGTGACTGAATGTTTAAGAAATTTGTGTGCATAGTTACTCAGTTTTTATGAACTGTTGTACCCTGTTCATGCATATTGCTCTGTGACTCCAGTATATCTTCCCTGTACTGACCAAACCTAAATAAAGACTTTTATCGTAACTCCTGCATTCATTTTGTTTTGTGTGTGTGTGCGCGTGCGCGCGCGCGCTTACCACTTGTTATTTATTTTTCCTGAGTTGCTTAATTTTTACTCATTATCCTTCAGTATCATACCACAAAAGTGAAACAAGCCTGTGCATTAATTTTGACTGTGTGCTTAATATTTTTAGGGTGTATGCCTTGTTGCCCTGGCTGATGTGGCTCAGTTGGTGAAGCACCGTCTCATCCACTGGCAGGTTGCTGGTTGGGTTCCGGGTCAGGGCACATGCCCAGGTTTGGGGCTCGATCCCCGGTCGTGGTGTGTGTGGGAGGCAGCCAGTCATGTTTCTCACATCAATGTTTCTCTCCCTCTCTATCTTAAAAAAAATAAAAAATAAAATATTCCTTGTTTTGCAAAATAAACTTGGAGTTTGGGACTACACTTTAAGTTTTTTCCCTGACTTGTAAAAATAAATGTTATAAAATATTCAAAAATACAGAAGCTATAAAGAAGAAAATAGTCAACCTTTGTTTTAATTTTTAGTTGAAAAGCAGACTGTTTTGGTGAAATGATTTCAGGTAATTAGTGATGTTTCAAAACATTGGCCAAATGCTACAGACTTATTAACACATTTGCTAATATTACATAGTAAGGTTATGGGGTGTTAGAATGAAGGAGAAAATGTTTTTAAGATGAAAGACTGTTTGCTTTGTTGTTTTAATATATTTTTATTGATTTCAGAGAAGAAGGGAGAGAAAATCATTGATGAGAGAATCATCAGCTGCCTCCTGCACGCTCCGTACTGGGGATCGAGCCCAAAATCTGGGCATGTGCCCTGACCAGGAATGGAACTGTGACTTCCTGGTTCATAGGTCAGTGTCACCTTTGTGGTATGATACTGAAGGATAATGAGTCGGCCTGCTTTGTTATTTTAAACATTAACCCTTTGAGTGCACCAATATCCTAGTAACTATGCTAAAATTGCCAAGGCATTTTTGCTGATTTTACAGCAGTTTAGGAAAAAAATTATGATAGTGCGCCCAGCACTTTTGGTGAAAGACAGGAGGAGCGCGATCGTGCTCCCCGGCACTCTAGGGGTTAAGTATCAAGGTCTATGGTATAAAGAATATAATTTTATGACTAAATTCATTATAGACTTATTATGTGTCATTACCAATTTTCATGCTTCTGTCAAATCTGCATTAATGAATTAACGTGGGGAAAGAGAACTTAGGATTGTGCAAAGTCAACATTCTTCATTTCTGGGTTTTGATACCTTTGCTGTAAAAGAAAGCCAGCCCCCTGTGTTTACTTCCTCGTTAAAAGTACATTGCTTCTCAAGCGGGAGCGTGCAGCATCCTTCAGCTGTCTCGTGAACAGAGAAACCCAGATTTGGGCAAAAACTTGATGAATGCTGCCAAAGAGGGTTATTTTTTAAGGACGGCCAACTTGGATAATGTCCAAAATACAGTAAGAGTTTTTTTTTTTTAATATATTTTATTTTTTTACAGAGAGGAAGGGAGAGGGATAGAGAGAAACATCAATCAGCTGCCTCCTGCACACTCTCTACTGGGGATGTGCCCGCAACCAAGGTACATGCCCTTGACCGGAATTGAACCCGGGACCCTTGAGTCCGCAGGCCGACGCTCTATCCACTGAGCCAAATAGGTCAGGGCCAGTAAGAGTTTTAATGTTTCTACTTTAACACTAGAGGCCCGATGCACAAAATTCATGCAAGAGTAGGCTTTCCTTCCCCTGACTGTCAGCACCGGCTTCCCTCATAGCCCGGCTTCATCCAGAAGGATGTCTGGTCTAATTAGCATATTACGCTTTTATTATTATAGATTATTCCAGAGTGAGTTGAAGGTAATAAAAATGCCTTAGCGTTTTTGGACATCTATTGAGTACATACATGCTGGAAACTAACAGGTATTTTATATGCATTATGATGATCACCCAATGAGATAGGCACTTGGTATCCCCATTTACAGAATAGGAAATGGACTTAGAAGGGTTAAGTAGCTGCCAAAGGGTTGGTAAGTTGGAGCTGCCCGCTGGATACTGTCTTCAAAGCTCCCTGGACAACACCTGGAAGCTGGCAGCTGAATCAAGTCTGGTAACAAGAGGCCAGACTTGCCACTGTCATAATACATCCTCTTGAAAGGGGCGAAGGAACGTTAACCTGAGCTGCTGAGGGTGAATGTTGCAGTACAGATACATCTTAGTTGGGAACAATCACATGAAATGGTAATACAATGGTGGCAAAAATGCAAACTGAAGATCTTAAGTAGCTCAAGAAGCTGGCTAAGGTAAGAGGAGTTAGTCTCTTAGAAGGGTTTAACTTGGTCCTTGTAGGAAACGCTGTCAGTGCACGAGGAATGAGAACATTTCTCAAAGGTCTGGCATTGGAGGATGTCCCAGGTATCATCTCTTCACGTAAGGTTTAGTGGACACAACTTACTTCTGGGAAGGTTTTCGTGAGAACAAAAGTGTAAAAGGGCTTGTTACATAGGGTTCATTAGATTCACTAGAAAGCTGTTAGTTCTGTTGGCCTTCCAGTTGGATTTAAAGCAACTGACCAATCGGGGACACCATTTTTTCTGACAATGTTCTCTCAAGACGGTCCTTATTTCTCATTAATAGCAGTTTGTCCCCTGTACCTAGTCGTTCCTACTGCTCTTCTCTGATGACACTTTCTTGAGAGTTCATTTAGTTCCATGGTTATAACTAACACTTCTTACAACCCTAGGTAATGCCATTACCTTTGATCGGGACCCATCATGGGAGAGTTGAGCAACCCGTTTTAAGGAATACACTTCCAACTCTAGCCCTTCAGGCCAACAAGAGTTTGCTGCATGGGAGGTTGGTGAGTTCTGCCTTCTGCTAAAATCTTGTTTGGGCTCCTGCAACCCTGTTTGTTTTTTGTCGTCATCATTGTTTTCTGCAACCCTGTTTGTGAAACAACCAAGAAGTGCTGCAGGGCCCCTTCAGGAAACACTGGCCCGGGAGCGCTGCTCTGACTGTGGCTTCCCTCAGCAGCCCAGGTGGCATGTGATCCTAGATCCGGGTGTGCTTTTTAAAACGATTTCTTCTTGTACCTATTCATTACTGTTGGTCCCCATCAGGCCCATGCTTGGCTTTATGTAGATGATTGATGAGCAACTAATGATGACTCCCCAAAGGACAGATGCTGTGTGGCCACACAAAAGCAAGCAATTTTCTTCTCAATTTTTCCTCTTAATTTGGTTCTGGATAGAGCCCCCAGGTAGGAAACAAATAAATACTTTCCGTGCATCCAGAATATATTCCTTTCAGATATGTTAGGTACTGGGCATAAAGAATACATTACCATTCTTTTTTTTTTTTAATATATTTTATTGATTTTTTACAGAGAGGAAGGGAGAGAGATAGAGAGTTAGAAACATCGATGAGAGAGAAACATCGATCAGCTGCCTCCTGCACATTCCCTACTGGAGATGTGCCCGAAACCAAGGTACATGCCCTTGACCGGAATCGAACCTGGGACCTTTCAGTCTGCAGGCCGACGCTCTATCCACTGAGCCAAACCGGTTACGGCACCATTCATATTTAATGCCTGTAATGTGCTAGGAGCTGTGCATCAAGCTGTATAACAAGATTGTCTTGCAAAGCTTATATAGTCTAGTAGAGGAGACGGATGGAACTAGGAATGATAGCATATGGTAAACAGAAATAAAGTTAAGATGCCAAGGAGACCCAATGCAGGGGTAGACATCACTTCCTCCAGGGAGCCTTCCTACGTGGAATACTACAGGGTAGGTTGGTTAACAGAAGAGTTACAGTGCTCACTGACATTTTGAATAGGGAAGTAAGAAAGGCTGAAAGAGGTGGATATAATGAGAGGTTTAGATGTGTTAAGTTTGATGGGCTTATGGGAAATTTTAATGGCGAAGGCCTGTTTACTCAGGAAACAACTAGGCTAGAGAGAGATTCAGAGGTCAGCATTTGGGTGGTAACTGAAGCCATGGGAGTAACTGTGCAAAGTAAGAACCTCAGGGACTATCGTAAGGAGCAAGTAAGCTCACAAAGGAGACAGGAGTGGCCAGAGGGGTATATGGACACAGAACAGAGCATGAAACCACAGAACAAGTTTCCTAAATTCCTTGGACCCCCACTTGTTTCAGCACAGGCAGCACATGCCAGACAGTAGAATCTCAGAGTGTGCTGCAGAGTTCTTGGGGAGGACTGCTGATTCCATCACTGCATTAGACTTGAGGCATTTCTCCTGGAGAAAACACTGCTAGCCAAGCTTTTCCCTCCCCCACCCCCATCTGAGGCTGATGCTGTAGTTACCTTCTCTGGTTATCTGACCCGTCCACATATCTCTAAAGTCTTGATGTATGTCCCCAGGACCAAATGAATTTTCAATCCACTCTAAAGTTTTTCAGGATTCCCCAGGATTGTCAAGATTTTCTCTCCATAATCTTGTGACAAGTCTCTTGCTCCAGTGTCTGGAAACCCTCTTTGCTAGCATATTAGGTTGTTTCTCCTTGAATTATCAAACATTTAAAAATCTCAACTTTCTACCAAGAAGTCAGCCTGGATAAATCAGGATGCTTTCAATTTTTTTAAAAAAATATATTTTATTGATTTTTTACAGAGAGGAAGGGACAGGATAGAGTTAGAAACATTGACCAGCTGCCTCCTGCACACCCCCTACTGGGGATGTGCTAGCACCAAGGTACATGCCCTTGACAGGAATTGAACCTGGGACCCTTCAGTCCGCATGCCGACGCTCTAGCCACTGAGCCAAACCAGTTAAGGGCAGGATGCTTTCAACTTGTAACAGGAGCTTACTGACCTCAAGCTGGCTTAAACAATAAGGAAAATTTGTTTCATGGTTGGAAGATCAGAGTTTGAGTGGATTCTAGGGTTGGTTTCAAAGATATCCTCAAAGCTGTAGTTGTTGCCTCGCAGTCATGCCGGCTCCACTCATGCTCAAAAGGTGTGTCCAGCACTTTCAGGCCTCACACCCAGATACCAAAGGGAAAAGGATTATCTTCTCTCTATCTCTTAGAAGAGGGAATAGCTTTCCTCCACAACCTTCCCATTTGGGGAGTAAACATTGGGTCACATTTCCATTGGCTAATTATATGGAGTAAAATGGATATTGGAGATCAATTGTCATAACTGGATTCATGGAGAGGTGAGATTCCAGCCATGTGTTTACCCTTTACTCAAACACACCTTGCCAGTATTGACAATTGGTGGCTGATTGATGTTAATTACCTTCAAATACTTGTGTGGTAAGAAATGTCCAGATCTGTAGAGAATTTTCAAGGGTTTCTTTGACCCAAACTGACAATTGCCAGGAAGTAAAATCTCAAAAGACTGAGAAAATGCTCCAGAGAATGGCAGTTTTGCAGCTTATTTTATACATTACAATCAAAGAAGGAGATGAAAGGGGGGTTGGCAGGTGAGGGGCGCAGGAGAAAGCAAAGCAGGGAAATCTCTGAGAGTGAATAAAGAATAAAACAGACAAGTACTTTTTTTATACTCGTGGGTACAGGATAGTTAACAATCAATGTTTTCAGCACATAGAGATGGTGTGCAGGGAACAAGATAACAACGAGGGGTGTGTGGTCTCCTGCCCTGGGGTGGTGGGTGTAACTTGAGACCCCTGGAAAAGGGTTACTCCGATATTCCAAGGTATATTATCTTACATGTGTAAGAACAAGACAGCTCATTTAGGTAAAGACTGACTTGTGTCAAAGAAGTGAAAACTCCATGATCTGCTTTTAGTCAGGAACTTTTATATCAGACCATCCTATGCAGTTACTTTTGGACTCTGAGTTTGTGCCTGCCCTGCTGCCCTCCCCTGAGCTTGTCAGATTTGGTACTTGAAAATCTCTCTATCTAACCTCTCTATCTAGGGCAGTGGTTCTCAACCTTGGCTGCACATTAGAATCACCTGGGAATCTTTTTAAAATCCTTATTTCCGGGCCTCATCCTCCGGAAATTCTGTTTCTTTGTTACTAATGTTGTGGCCCCACCCCATAACGAAACAGAATTTCCAGAGGATGAGGCCCAGAAACCAGGATTTTAAAAAGATTCCCAGGTGATTCTAATGTGCAGCGAAGGTTGAGAACCGCTGCTCTAGGGCCTCATGCTGCCCTGGGGATTGCTAAAGCTTTTAGATTATAATCATGAAAATTCATTAAGACTCGATAAGCATTAATTAAGTCCCTACTGCGTATCCAACACTGTCCTAGGTGCCAGAGAGAATAAGACAAAGCGAGGCCTCTGGGAGATTAGGCAGGGAGGGGTGTCCAGGGGAAGACAGCCGGAGCTGGGGCTGGAAGAGGGCCGGGCCAGACGTTCAGGTTCCTAGAGCTTTAGGAGATTTAAAACTTCACCCAGTTGGGGACGGAAAGTTGTACAGGGTTTCAGAAGGAGATTGACCCGACTTGTTTTACCTCCTCTCCTTCAGGCTGTGCACACTGTCTGCCCGAGGCAATCCTCTTGACTTGTGTGACACTCAGACACCCAGCCTCACCTGGAGCTCTGGTCCTGGTGAGAAAGGCACCTGGTGTCAACCCACAGGCAGAGTCCTCCCAGCGGCCTGCATAGAGGAGAACCAAGGTAACCCCTATGGGAATGAGGATTATGGGCACTCGGGCCAAACATGGGGGGACTTTCGCAGCCAGGAAACCAAAAGCACGCAGCAGAGCGCAGCGCAGGCCTGTCCTTGCAGATTCGCACTGATACTCTGGCCCTGGGGATCCCAGTGCCGGCAGAACCTTTCACGGACTCGGACAACACTAAGTTCAAGGACACCAACAACCCTCGCCAAACAAAAACGTCATGACAGAAACTGCAATGAGTTCCTTGAAACATAATTCGCTTTTCCGTGAGCCAGAAGTGGGTTTGGGGCAGGTCAGTAGTATACAGAATGGTGATTTTATTTATTATTACTCTCTGGGAAAGGTGATCATACAGCTTCAGAAAGTGAAATCACGTTTGTAAGGTGAAGAATCCCCTTTGTTGCACTATCCCCTAGAATAGTGCTATGCAGAGTGGGTGCTTGAATTGTGGGTTAAAAATATAAAACTGGCCCTAACCGGCTTGGCTCAGTGGCTAGAGCAGGGGTGGGCAAACTTTTTGACTCGAGGGCCACAATGGGTTCTTAAACTGGACCAGAGGGCCGGAACAAAAGCATGGGTGGAGTGCTTGTGTGAACTAATATAAATTCAAAGTAAACATCATTACATAAAAGGGTACGATCTTTTTTTTTAGTTTTATTCATTTCAAACGGGCGGATTCGGCGGGCCGTAGTTTGCCAATGGCTGGGATAGAGCGTCAGCCTGCGGACTCAAGGGTCCCAGGTTCGATTCAGGTCAAGGGCATGTACCTTGATTGCGGGCACATCCCCAGTAGGGAGTGTGCAGGAGGCAGCTGATCGATGTTTCTCTCTATCCCTCTCCCTTCCTCTCTGTAAAAAATCAATAAAATATATTTAAAAAAAAAAAAATATATATATATATATAAAACTGGTAAATGTGCGTATCTTCAAGGCTGGCTTAAGTATAAACTTGTTTTTTTAAAACACTTGAAAAGATAAAAGATTTGTTTCATATTTTTAAAAAAGAAAGGAAATGCTATGCTAAGACCTGCATGTAGAGTCTTACGCGTAGTGGGCGGTGTGTTTCCCAATCAGGGGTCCCTCCCCAACGCCCAACCTCGCGCCTGCGCACGGCGCCTGCGGGGGCGGTGGGCGGGGCTTCTTGAGGCCCCGCCCACAGTGTGATCGGCCAGGGGCCCGAGAGTCTTTTCCTCGCTCGCCGCAGCATCGGGTCCACAGCTGTGCGTGGAGAGGTCCTGCGGCAGGATGAGTGCAGGCTCGGACCCCGTGGTCATCGTCTCGGCGGCGCGGACCGGCATAGGTGAGTGGCTGGCAGGTCCGGCGCGGCGTGGGAGACGCGGGCCCGGCGGGCCGCGGGGACCCCTGGGACGCTGGGACCCTCGGAACAAGGAGCCTCACACCTCCCCGACTTGCCCGGAAGACTCGCCCCCTCGGCCCAGGAGGATGTGTCCCTTCCGCCTGTTCTGATTGGCTCTCGAGGTAGAGCCACTGCGCCGTTCGACCTTCCCATTGGCTGGCAGGAAGAGGCGCTCTCTCGCGAGCTCCTGATTTGCCGTCTCAGCTCAGTGGTCTCAGGGGCGGGGCTACTGGGTGGTTGGGGCAGGGGCAGCGGGCAGGGGTCTTGCTGGTGTCCGACGGGTAGTGCCAGCTGCCTTGGCCTCGTTAGTGCTGGGGAGGCTTCAAAGCCCTAGACGCGCGGGAGGGCGACCTGTTTCGTTGGGGCATGTGGCCCGGCCCCTCTGGCCTGGGAATGGACCGGCCAGCAGGCGTCCCGCGGGTCTGAGGGTCTCCCCCCACCCCCCCGCGCTCTGCGAGCCGCCTGCCCGGGTCCCGGCTGCTGCGAGCCCCACGCGCCCCGCCCTGTGCCCAGAGGAGCTGCGCCTGTGCAGGGGCAGAGCCGGGGTCCGCCAGCCCCCCCCCCCAACCCCCCGTGGGCGGCCCCTTCACTCCCCTCGCCTTCCCTTCTGTCCTAGGCTCCTTCAATGGCGCCTTGTCCACCGTTCCCGTCCATGACCTGGGCTCAACGGTCATCAAGGAAGCCCTGAAGCGGGCCGCTGTGGCCCCCGAAGAGGTGTCGGAGGTCATATTTGGACACGTTTTGGCAGCAGGTACCTCCTTGGTGACGCCAAAGAGGGTCATGCTTATAGAAGCAGTCCGTCCACCACCCACCCACACACACAAACTTGTGTTCTGGCCTCCATCGCCCCCCCCCCCCCCCCCCCCCCCCGCCAAGTCCCGGGAGTAGATTCTCTCCTGCATGTATTTGTCCTGAGCCCTGAAGGAGCCTAGACCCCCTCCCTCCCCTGACTTTTCATTCTGCAGAAGCAGGGCCAGCCTGGCACGTGGGAGAGCATGCAGGACCCTCCGTATTTCCCTGCAGTGTCACTCATTCAATAAACATGCATCGAATTCCTCTTTTGTGCACTGCACTGTGCTGGGTGCTGGGGTAGGGCTCCAGCAAGGCAGGGAAGGTCCTCACCCCATGATCTCACTTCTGAGCTGGAAGACAGGTTGGCTTCACACGGCTCACAGGCAGGTGAGTCACTCCTGGGATGGGCACAGGTATGTCACCAGAGGGCTCCATTCTTCTGATTCCCACCCAGCAATCCCTGCCAGTGCCTGGTGAGTAACTATAACTAGTCTCCTGCTGAGTATAAACTCGTTATTCACAGTGATAACTGGTAATGCTCACTAACCACCAACTTTTGTCCCTACCCCTTCTTAGACCTGATCCGTTTTTTCTGTGTATTTACTTGGCAGTTTTGTAGTTACTCTTCCCCATTCTCCTTTCTCCCCTTGCCCCTATGGGCCTTCAGACGAAAGCACACTGATTTCTCATGACGGCAAGTCTTTAAATATCTGAGTCCTGCCTCAGACTGGCTACCTTCAGTCACTCTCTCCTTCCTCCTTCCCACACTCGTGACTCAGACTTACTCAGTTGCTGTAGGGTGCTCAACTACTGGTTTTTCTTTTTCTCTTCTCTTTTTTAAATTAAATATGTTTTTAATTGATTTTAGAGAGAGGAAAGGAGAAGGATAGAGAGAGAGAAACACTGATGAGAAACATCAATCAGCTGCCTCCTGCACGCCCCCCTGCTGGGGATCCAGCCCTCAGCTAGGGCGTGTGCCCTGACCAGACTCAAACCAGCAACCTCTAGGTGCATGGGCTGACGCTCAACCCACTGACACCTGCCAGGCTGGTTTCTTATCTTTTCCACATCGTTCCTCTCCAGTGTCTCCACATGTTATAATAAAACTAGAACTGTGTTTATTGAGGGCCTGCTTGGTGCTGGGCTTTTGAAGCACTACGGTTAGTGCTTGCCTTTCATCCCCTTAGTTTGTTCTCTCAGTAAGTCTATTGGTCGTGGTATCTCCATTTTACAAATGAGCACCTGAGATTTTGGGAGGTTAAGTAACTTCTCCAGGATCCAGTTTGAAGACGAGCTAGCTCTTTACCCACATCTGTCCTCCCTAAGCTGGGGTAGGGCTCCAGCAAGGCAGGGAAGGTCCTCACCCCCATGATCTCACAGTTGTTGCTGTGAGGTACTGTCCACAGTTGTTGCTGCCAAAGGTAAACTGAGTGGGGGGGGGTGAAAGGATTAAGGAAAGACAGATAAGAGAATGAAAGCTGGGTCTCGGTGGGACGCTGCTCCCTGATGAGACAGCGCCAGCGCCCACAAGCCATGTCTTTATTTGATGATAGATGCCACGAGGCAAAGTAGGGGCGTGATCACGTTGTTTACAGCATTCTCGTGAGTTCCAGCCTCACTCAACGACATGCACCTGAACTCTACCACAAGGCACGTGGAGCTACGTGTTCGGACCATAGGTTCAAGCTCACAACCACAGCCATTGGCTATGATTGTGTTGGGAGGGCCCTGCCCTCCAGCTGGGACTTGCACGTGGCAGTGAGAGGACCTTGTCCTTTCATTAGTCCGAGGCTTGAACCTGGCCAAACACTGTAACCGCGCCCCACACAGTCACATCACAAATATTGACTGAGCACCTGCGGTTCTCTGTCAGCTAGAACAATGAAATGTGACAGAAGATAGAAATCATCATTCTCCTGGAGCTCATTTTCTGCCAAACGCCACACGGTTACTTCTGTTCAACACATAAGGAGTATAAATAAATACATAAGAAACTTATAAAGAAGTCATTTATTTAAATGCATTTGTAATTCGTGTTGCTTAGGAAGCAGGAATCTTAGCCCTAGCTGGTGTGGCTCAGTGGATAGAGCAACGGCTTGCGGACTGAAGGGTCCCAGGTTTGATTCTGGTCAAAGGCACATGCCCACAGATTGAGGGCTCGATCCCCAGTGGAGGATGTGCAGGAAGTGGCTGATCAATGGTTCTCTCTCATCACTTGAGGACAGGAGTTTTTTTTCTTTTAATAATATATATTTTTTATTGATTTCAGAGAGGAAGGGAGAGGGAGAGAGAGATAGAAACATCAATGATAAGAGAGAATCATTGACCAGCTGCTTCCTGCACACCCACTAATGGGATTCGAGCCTGCAACCTAGGCATGTGCCCTAGACCGGAATCGAACCTGGGACCCTTCAGTCTGCAGGCTGGCACTCTATCCACTGAGCCAAACCACTAGGGCCGGCCTTGTTGCCTCTGGTAGCGCTTGCCTGGGCAGGCAGGAGACACAGTCGCAATCTCCCGATGTTACCTTTCTCTTTCATTGCTGAGAGGCCTCCATTTCCCTTCTTTCAGGTTGTGGGCAGAATCCGGTTCGACAAGCCAGTGTGGGAGCAGGGATCCCCTACTCTGTTCCAGCATGGAGCTGCCAAATGATTTGTGGGTCAGGCCTCAAGGCTGTGTGTCTTGCAGCACAGTCGATCCGGATAGGGGACTCCAGCATTGTGGTTGCAGGAGGCATGGAAAATATGAGCAAGGTAAGGCCTGCGGAGAAATGGCTGTCAGACCTCTCGCCAATAAACTCATGTCCATGCCACGGCGGGGTAAATCGATTCATTATCAGAGCTGGAACCAAGCAGTAAACAAATAAACAAAAAATGGATTCAACCTTGATCCCAACCTGAAAGTTAATTACTTTTCAAATTAGATGGGAAATTGGGGTTGAAGAAAAAGCTTGTCAACCAATGTGATTAGAATAGGATGGTTTTCCTAAAATATTAGTGAGACAATATTTTCTGAATTAAACCTATAACACTAGTCAGTAGATATCCTTGGTCTTCAATTTCTTTCTTATTACGAGGAAAAGTCAGTGTTGCCACTTACCTTCCTACATGTGACAAAGAGGAACCCAGGGGTCAAGTCTGTTCACCTTTGGGAGCTATAGAACTGGAGGAGAGGACGGCTGAGCGGTGCCCTTCTCTAATAAGTTTGCCAGGTGGGATTTGTTTCACCAAGTTCCATCCCTCAAACCGGCCATGAAAAAGGAAAAAGTGTACCCCCTGCTTCCTACAGGCAGGTCCATGGATGATCTGAGGAGCCCCTAGGCCAGGGGTGGGGAACCTTTTTTCTGCCAAGGGCCATTGGGTATTTATAACATCATTTGAGGGCCATACAAAATTATCAACTTAAAAACTAGCTTGCTAGGCCCTAGCTGGTTTTGGCTCAGTGGATAGAGCATCAGCTTGCACACTTAAGGGTCGCAGGTTCGATTACAGTCAAGGGCATGTACCTCAGTTGTGGGCTCCATCCCCTGCATGAGGTATCCAATCAGTGTGTCTCTCTCGGACCTCTGTTTCTCTATCTCTTCCCCTTCCTTCTACTCTCTTCCACTCTCTAAAAAATCCATGGAAAAAATATCCTTGGGTGAGGATTAACAAACAAAAATTGGCCTGCTATATTTGGTCAAACATTTAATTAACTCACCTCTAATGCTTGGCAGGACCAGACCAAATGATTTTGAGGGCCTTATGTTGTCTGTTCAGCACAGCCATTGCTGAGGCCCAGGAGAAGACAAGCCTACGGTAGCAAAAGGATTAGAGTGGTTATGATGGGATCCTCCTAATATCTGTGTAGTCATGTACAAGTTGCTTTTATACAGGCAGTCACAGCAGCCCTTAGGGCAGCCGTGGGTAAACTATGGTCCGCGGGCCGGCCAGTTTGAAATGAATAAAACTAAAAAAAAAAAAGACCGTACCCTTTTATGTAATCCATGTTTTTGTTCCGGCCCTCCGGTCCAGTTTAAGAACCCATTGTGGCCCTCAAGTCAAAAAGTTTGCCCACCCCTGCCTTAGGGGGTAGATGGTGTCATTGTTAATTTAGAGATAAGTAAACTGAGGCCCAGAGCCAGAATTCAAATCTAGATCTTCTGACTCCCATGGCCTTCTATTCTAGTATAGCTGCTGTTGAGTTGGTGAGAGTTAAGAGGGTGCCCCTCCCAGAAATCCTCCCCTTCAGTTAATTAGGAAACCTAGTTATTATCACTGTAGGCATTATGCCTCCCATCAGAATAAGTAACACATTGTTCACATCAGTTAAACTCTTGGATGAGGTCTTCATTTAACAGAGAACTAGTTGCATCTGGAAAGAATGAATGAGGTTCTTAAGGAAATAGGACACAGAAGAGGGAGGTTTGATGGAAAATGGAAATGGGTAGGTAGGAAAGTAACGGGCTCCCAGGAGAAGACAGGGTGGGCCCTGGACCCTGGACCCGGGGTAAGGAGACTAGGCCGGAACTGGGGAGAAGGGTCACAAGGGGACTAGATGAGGACTTAGAGTTACTGAGCAGTTAAGAGTGGTGTCCTAGGCAGAGCACTAGTTATAACCAAGCCTAAATTCATTGGGATTTCTTGTTTTCAGGCTCCTCACCTGGCTCACTTGAGGACAGGAGTCAGGATTGGGGAGACACCACTGACTGACAGTATTCTGTGCGACGGGCTTACAGATGCATTTCACAACTACCACATGGGCATTACAGGTAAGGGGTGTCGGAGAACGCACTGCAGAAAGGTTCAAAAGCATGTAATGAGTGACTCCACGGGGGCTTTCCTCAGGAGGCCATGTGTCGTAAGTGGGCCACTTAAGTCCAAATCAGGGACATGTGACAAAAGAACTGGCCCCTGCTCTTCCAAAATGTCAAGGTTAAGAAACACAGATAGTCTAGCCCTGACTAGTTTGGCTCAGTGGATAGAGCGTCTGCCTGTGGACTGAAGGGTCCCGGGTTCGATTCCGGTCAAGGGCATGTACCTTGGTTGCGGGACATCCCCAGTAGGGGGTGTGCAGGAGGCAGCTGATCGATGTTTCTCTCATTGATGTTTCTAACTCTGTAGCCCTCTCCCTTCCTCTCTGTAAAAAGTCAATAAAATAAAATTAAACAAAAAGAAACACAGATAGTCTGAAGAACTCTACCAAATAAAAAAAAACTTAAGAAATTGACAGTGCAATGCAGTACATGATCCTGATTGGATCCTGGACCGAACAAATAAATCAGCACAAAGAGCATCACTGGGCCCTGGCTGGTGTGGCTCGTTGGTTGGGCATTATTCCATGTACCAAAAGGTTGATGGTTTGATTCCTGGTTAGGACACATGCCTTGGTTGGGGGCTCGGTCCCAAGCAGGGGGCGCGCAGGGTAAGCCAGTCAATGTTCCATTTTCGCATCGATGTTTCTTTCTCCCTCTCTCTTCCTCTAAAAATCAACAAAAATGTATCTTTTAAAAAAAGACATAATTGGGACAAGTGGAACATGAATATGGACCAAGAATTACATAATAGTATTGTATTGATGATATATTTCCTAATTTTGAAAGCTGTGGTTATATAAGAAAATGGCCTTGTTTGTGGGGAAATACACACTGAAATGAAAATTTAGGGATAAAGTAGCAGGATATCTAGAACTTTCAAATGGTTCAGAAAGAGAATGATAAAGCAATTAGGGCAAAATAGACAATTGGGAAATCTGCATAAAGGAGATTTCTGAAAGTTTAACATTATTTAATGGAAAAGAGAGAAGGAAGGAAGCAAAGAAAGAAAATGGCTTCTTGGGTCCCTGCAAGATTTTCATATTCATTGCCAGTGGGAGGCAAGATTGTCAATAGAGCACTGTCCCTTAGCCTGCCAGCGAGCCTGCTGATATTGGGCTCTCAGTGCTTATTTAAATATGAAAAACTTGAGCTACCAAAAACCAGGTCCTGTAAATGTTTATATTTTGCTTTGTCTATTTTTTTCACAGCTGAAAATGTAGCCAAAAAATGGCAAGTGAATAGAGAAGATCAGGACAAGTTGGCAGTTCTGTCCCAGAACAGGACGGAGAATGCACAGAAAGCTGGCCACTTTGACAAAGAGATTGTACCAGTGTTTGTGCCTTCTAGAAAAGGTGGGTTCAGGCCTGGCCGGCGTCAGCCTATGAACCAGGAGGTCACAGTTCAATTCCTGGTCAGGTCACATGCCCGGGTTGCTGGTTCAGTCCCCAGTGTGGGGCATGCAGGAGGCAGCCAATGATTCTCTCATCATTGATGTTTCTGTCTCTCTCTCCTTGTCCTTTCCTCTCTGAAATCAGTAAAAATAAAAACGAAAAGGTGGGTACATAAATCATAATGATCTAAACATCAACATAGCTCTTTAAAGAATAATATCTGAAAGAATAATATATAGGACTGGTGTATAAATGGTGTCCTAGCCAGCCCTTTCAGGCTGAAAGGTATCCCCTGGAAGCCTCTGAATAAGGCTTGGGGTGTGGGGCCATGTTTATGGGGCGAGCAAACATGGGAAGCTGTGCCAGCATCCAGACACTTGGTCCCAGTGTCCACACTGCTAGGTGGGAGGGGCCAGTTTCAGGAGAAACTAGAGCACTGACAGGTTGTGAGGCCACAGCTGGCCTGTTACAGGCTAATCTCAGAGGTGAACATCCATTACTTCCTCTTGCTTCTGTGTATGGCTATTTCTTGGGTGGATCTTTATGGGTCCCTTTGCTTTTATCTAACACTAGAGGCCCGGTAGACGGATTTGTGCATGGGTGGGGCCCCTTGGCCTCGCTGGCGATCAAGGCTTATCGGGGGGCCAGCCAGCCGTGGGAGGGATCCTGGGAGGTTGGCCTGCTGACCAGCGGGAAGTGGGGTGTAGGAGGTTGGCCAGGGGGTTGGGAGTGCGAGGTTGGCTGTGGGAGCACACTGACCACCAGGGTTGAGCGTTTTCCCCCGGTGGTCAGTGAGTGTCATAGCGAGTGTTGAACGGTTGTTCTAGTTGGTTGTAGTGGTTGCTTAAGCTTTTATATATATAGATAGATGGAGTGCTTGAGTCCAATTCTCTTAGCAGTGAACTGATATCCCTTATGTCCAGCTCTAGTGAGGCTGGCTTTCACACTCCAGAATCCAGTCCTCTGTAAGCAGCCAAGTCCTGTGTCTGACCATAGCCATCTTGCACAAAAGACTCTCGGAATGCCTGACCATAGTGTTCATAAAATGTCCTAACGTACATACAATAAATGTTATTAGTGTGCATACTTTTCTCTTACTGGAATGAAAGTTCTTTTTAAATAAACCTTGTCTTCAAATACGAATCTTCATGAATCAGGTCTGAGGAGCCCACCATTCGGAGCATGCTGACTGCCATCTCTGACCTGACCTCAGGATTTATTTTCCTTTTCAGGCCTTATTGAAGTTAAAACAGATGAGTTTCCTCGCCATGGGAGCAACATAGAAGCCATGTCTAAACTAAAGCCTGCCTTCCTTACGGATGGAACAGGAACGGTGACTGCAGCTAATGCTTCAGGTTAGGGTAAAATTTTTTTACTTGATTTTAGAGAGAGGAAGGGGGGAAGACAAGTTGTTGTTGCACTTATTGATGCACTCACTGGTTGCTTCTTATATGTGCCCTGACCAGGGATCACACCCAAAACCTTGATGTATTGGGATGATCCTCTAACTCAGTGGTTGCCAATCTTCTGGGCCTCACAGATCACCAGTGATCAATGGACCACTGGTTGGCGACCGCTGCTCTAACCAACTGAGCTACCTGGCCAAGGCCAGGCTAGATTTTCTGAAGGACAGTTGGGGAATCTCATCTTCTGGCAATTCTACCACGTTAACACCTTTTTTCTTTTATTTCATTATCTATTTATACACATTATTCTAAAACCTTGTTTTAGCAGCTTTAGGGGAAAATGTAGTTCTGTATATTTTGGTCATTAGTTTTTTCCATACTTGATTAGAAACTTTATATATACTGAGTGAATGGATTTGCTTTACCAATATCCTAACTAGATGCACAGATGAAAAAGCAAATTAGGGAACCCCAGTTTATCTAGTATCTTTGTACTTTTCCAAAAACAGAATCTGTTGTCAGTGTTCTCCCGTGAAGTTGGGGCTATTTCTTCCATTTTTTTCATTAACCTCCCCTCCCCCACTGTTTTAATCTTTCCACTTTCCTGCTGGATGTTTTGGGATTATGTCCTATTGCCTAATTTACCATTTCAGATTACACAGTGAAGTCTGAACTATGGCAAATGGCTTTTGCCAAGATGTGTTAATAATTTAACTCACGTCTGAAAGTAAACAGGTACCACAACTGTAATAAGCGTTATTTTAGAAATCAAGACAGTCGTGTTTTGCAGGAATGAATGATGGTGCTGCAGCCGTGGTTCTTATGAAGAAGTCGGAGGCTGATAACCGTGGGCTGACACCTTTAGCAGAGATAGTTTCCTGGTCACAAGCAGGAGTGGAGCCTTCCATTATGGGAATAGGACCAATTCCAGCAATAAAGCAAGCTGTGAGTTTTCTTTTGAACATCACCACCTGTCCTTTGCTGTTACTTTACCTCAAAGACTAGACCAATAACCTGCAAGTGCATATTAAGGTATGCCTTCTTAACTTGCCCAGGTCCTTTCCACTCCAAAATGCCAAGATCGGGCTTTGTCTTCATGTTCATTCCCATCAGGTTTCATTTGTTGTTTCCCTTTTGTGAAAGCCTTCCAGTCAGCCTCAAGTGAGCCCCTTTCCTATTTCCCCTACACCAAGGGCAGCCCAGAACATTTGGATCAAGGGGAGCGGATGCTCTGTCACCTCTCCTACACCTGACAGATGTTACTGGTTCAAAATTTTAGTTTAGAATTTCCAAGGGCTGTTTTATCCTGAAGTCACTAGGCTGAAGTAGCAGCCCCAATGGCATTTCCTGAGATCCTTCAGTGTCGTATATATTCTTTTTAATGTACAATGAATAGACCTCTCCCATTAATCTTTCCTTTAGGTTGCAAAAGCAGGCTGGTCACTGGAGGATGTGGACGTATTTGAAATCAACGAAGCCTTTGCAGTCCTCTCAGTTGCAATAACTAAGGAGCTTGGATTGAACCCGGAAAAGGTAAAGTTGAGTAAGCAGCCCTTCATGAAAGCTTGTAAATGAACATTCACAATGCAGTTTAAGATTGTAAACACACATAGCATAGTTAGATAAAGTCCCAGGTATTGGCCATATGGTAGTAATAGGCGGGACTACAGGTTCATTTACCCTGTTGCTTCCAAAGGCAAAAACCCTAGACTGCATTGGTTTACTTCAAACATAACAGGGCTCCAAAAAAATTTAAAATGAAGGACTAGGGAAGATAGGATAGCTATCATATGGGTATAAATCAAAGAGGGTAGCTTATTGGTATAGCATTAAGAGGAAGGAGGTTAGTTTAGGATTTTAGCCATCTATCTACAGAATGACAAGTTTTTTCTCCCTTTAGGTCAACATTCAAGGAGGGGCTATAGCCCTGGGCCACCCTCTTGGGGCATCTGGCTGTCGGATTCTCGTTACCCTGTTACACACAATGGAACGAAAGGGTGGGCGTCGTGGTGTTGCTGCCCTATGCATTGGGGGTGGGATGGGGATAGCAATGTGTGTTCAGAGAGGGTGAACCTGCTTCACTAAGCTTGAACCTCATTTCTTTCAACTAATAAGGCACTAATATGTGAAATCAGGACCAATGTGAGGGTGGGAGCCATCTTCCACTTCATAAGAACCCAGGGCTTGATGCTTGTACTTTTAATGTGTAATATGCAAGGTACAAGACAACTGCATCTTACAGTGTTATAAATAAAAGAAATCAGATCAGTCATCAAGGGCTCCTGAGTGAACAGCATCTTCATAACCTCCATGCTTATCATCTTTGCTTTCTGGATGCAATTTAATAAGATCATCAATGCGAAGAATGGTAATTGCAGCTTCTGTTGCAAACTTCAAACTTTTAACTTTAACTACAGTTGGTTCAAACACCCCTGCTTGTTTGTTGTCTCGAGGTTTACCATTAACCAGATCAAGACCAATCCTGCAATTTAGGGGCAAAAAATATTAACAAAAATTAGCATAAAAGAGTTGTAGAAAGGCACTACATAGCAGTAAAGCTGTAAACACCATTACTGTATTATAAAGAGGTTGCTTAAAGATGGTTATGTATCGCCCCAAAAGAATATCCTGCATTCCTCTAGTGCAGCGGTTCTCAACCTGTGGGTTGCAACCCTTTGGGGGTCGAACGACCCTTTCATAGGGGTCACCCAAGACCATCAGAAAACACATATATGCTGAAGCCGGTTTAGCTCAGTGGATAGAGCGTCGGCCTGCGGACTGGAAGGTCCCAGGTTCGATTCCAGTCAAGGGCATGTACCTGGGTTGCGGGCACTTCCCCAGTGGGGGATGTGCAGGAGGCAGCTGATCGATGTTTCTCTCTCATCGATGTTTCTAACTATCTCTCTCCCTTCCTCTCTGTAAAAAATAAAATATATTTAAAAAAAGAAAACATATAATTACATATTTGTGATTAATCACTATGCTTTAATTACGTTCAATTTGTAATAATGAAAATACATCCTGCATATCAGATATTTATATTACAATACGTAACAGTAGCAAAATTACTGTTATGAAGTAGCAATGAAAATAATTTTATGGGTGGGGTCACCACACCATGAGGAGCTGTATTAAAGAGCCATGGCATTAGGAAGGTGGAGAACCACTGCTCTAGTGCATCATCCTGTAAAGTGAGTACCCAGAGAGGCCAGGAAGGGTTAGTACAACCCAAGACACATCCATGCTAATGAAACCACCAGAGAACACGACCGATACATCTGATATACAGATGACAATGAAAAAGGGAAATTGTATACTTACCATTTTAGATTCTTGCGTTCTGGGTTAACTTGAGCCTCATTATGAAAAGCTCTTAACTTTGCAACCAGATCAGTGGAGTCTTGGGCAGCATTAACTGCAAGTGTGTTAGGAATAACAAGAAGAGATCGTGCAAATTCTGCAATAGCAAGCTGTTCCCGAGACCCCTAGAAGACAATGAGGTAGCATCAAAAAAGGAAGAAAATCAGCCCTAACCGGTGTGGCTCAGTGGGTAGAGCGTCGGCCTGTGGACTGAAGGGTCCCAGATTCAATTCCGGTCAAGAGCATGTACCTTGGTTGTGGGCACATCCCCAGTAGGGGCTGTGCAGGAGGCAGCTGATCGATGTTTCTAACTCTATCCCTCTCCCTTCCTCTCTGTAAAAAATCAATAAAATATACTTTTTTTTTTAAAAAAAGGAAGAACATCAAAAGACGCAGTGGCAGCTTAGGGTTTCAGCTTCATGAGGGCGATGAACGAAACGCTGAGACAATCACCCGAGCGCTGCGGGTCACTACAAGTTCTTACCATGCTGGTTGCGTAGTTCTCCAGGTATATGGAAAGGGCTGCCTCCACAGCGCCCCCACCCGGGACCACAGATTTTGACTCCAAAACTCTCTTCACCACACAAATAGCATCATGTAAAGAGCGCTCCATCTCATCACACATGTAGTCATTTGCCCCACGTAAGATAATTGATGCAGACGTACGAGCCTTAGTGCTATTGAAAAAAGGAAGTGAAATTCTTAAAGCAACACTTTTATAAAAGAGATCTAAATAGACATTTATTTTAAGCACTTTGATTAAGTCCTGCTTCCATAAGGACATTTGTCTAGACCATGCATACAGAAGAGATGAAATGGTTACTCCATCTCAATTGACAATGGTCTAATGTTATTTTATCCCATGCGTATAACTGCTCATACCATTGAAAAGACTATAGCAGCAAATAAATGGGAAGGGGTCTGTTTTACTCATTAATAAAACCTATGTAGTTTTGTAATTTAGAAAGTAGCTCTTACTTTTTGACCAGGATCAGTTCATCATCACAAATTCTCTCCTGTACCACCTCTTCCGCTTGTCCCAGCATTGCTGCCTCAAAGGTTTCCTCGCCTTCCAAATTGGCCAGGCTTGACACAACAATTGCTATTAAGGTAATTACAAAGATCTGTAAACATTTTTATACCGTCTAAGATTCAGGAACATTTATAAAAAAGCGATGCATAAATACAAGTTTACGGTTTACAGTTAGGCACCAGACATGGAACTGTCATTTTGAGGTTAAGAAATTCAGCAAACTAAAGAACTTTTCCAATTACATGAAAAATGGCCCTATAAATACATCTGTAGTACCAATCATCACAGGGAGGAGTAAAAGGAAAAGAGGGTTGTTTTTTGAAGCTGCTTAATACTGACACCACCATGTAAAGAGAGATGGTCACGTTACAAGAACGTGAAACATCACACCTGAGAGCTGGCAGAAGACATACCTCCAGAAGCTTTAGCAATGCGCTTAAGGTCCTTTTTTAAAACTCTTCTGACTGCCATTGCGCCAGCCTCCACAAAATACTTCAGACACATGTCGTCAATGCCACCAGTGGTGAGAATAACGTTGGCTCCAGTTGCCAGGATCTTCTGGATTCGTTCCTTGCTGATATCTGATTCTCTACAGATAAAGTATTTGTGTAGTAAGCCAAAGTTACCTTCTGTGTTTTTCATATAACAAAGCTTTAAGTTCCGTATTTTTCACAAAATAATTGCAGATTAAGTTTGACTCCCCTTTTTTTCTTTTTTTAAAATATATTGATTTTTTTTCACAGAGAGGAAGGGAGAGGGATAGTTAGAAACATCGATGAGAGAGAAACATCGATCAGCTGCCTCCTGCACACTCCCCACTGGGGATGTGCCCGCAACCCAGGTACATGCCCTTGACCGGAATCGAACCGGGACCCTTGAGTCCACAGGCGATGCTCTATCCACTGAGCCAAACCGGTTAGGGCAACTCTTTTCCTTTTATGACCAGAATTTAAAGGAGTCCAATTCACATGAAAGATTCAGGCATTAAAAATCCCACTTAGCATCCCCAATTTGCATCTCTAACCAAGAACTGTGATTAGGAAGTGTCCCTGCCTTCAATGATCTGGCAGCCTGTCAACCACAGTTCGTGGCCAATGCTACCACAAGTGCAATACAGAGACCACCAGCACATGGGAGACAGTAATCCATCCTGGCAGATGGGACAAGAAGGTCTGAAGTCAGGAGGGTTCCAGAGCTGAAACTGCAGGTAGGACCAGAACATGAAGAAGCCTGTAGGGGTGTTAAAGAGCCTGGAGTGCTTCATCTTTTAAAATTAGGAATTGCCGAACCGGTTTGGCTCAGTGAATAGAGCATTGGCCTGCGGACTGAAGGGTCCAGGGTTCGATTCCGGTCAAGGGCATGTACCTTGGTTTTGGGCGCATCCCCAGTGGGGGGCATGCAAGAGGCAGCTGATTGATGTTTCTCTCTCATCGATGTTTCTAACTCTCTATCCCTCTCCCTTCCTCTCTGTAAAAAACAAATAAAATATATTTAAAAAAAAAATAAAATAAAATTAGGAATAGCATCATCAAATCTGTTTTCAAAAGGACCCCCTGATGTCAATGTGGAAACTGTACTGGGAAGGTGAAGGACTGAGGGAGGAGACAATCACTGGAAATATAGATGAGCAGAGGAGAGAGTAAAGCCTATAGCTTAGCTAACGGAGGGTCAGCCTCCGACCCCTGGAGTAAGAGACATACTAGCAGGTTGCAGGCAAGATGAGAAGGAAGAGTTGATTTCAACAACATGCGTTTGAAGTCGCTGTGTCCTTCAGGTGATGCTTCCAGGAGGCAGTCAGACATGCATGGAAATCAAGCTCTGGGAGAGTTACTATATAGGTAAATGAAGCCATTTCACCTACCATTCAAAGAATAGTGGATAAGAGAATTCAAAGATTTCTTAAAGTAAAACGAATTGAATGTTAACCTCAAAACAAACCTCTTTATATACTGAACAAAGACTGCATGCCAGCAACTACTAAACACAGGAGGCTACAAAGCCAAGGAAATCGTTTAGTCTCTACCTTCAGAACTACAATCTAAGTCATACAAACACAAACTGTGTTAAGCCCCAGGAAGACAGACATAGAAAGGCACAGTAGAGTGTAATTTAGATTAAGGGATCAAGAGAAGCTTCTTTGAGAGACTGACCACTTAAAGAGCAAGTAAAAAATTATAACAGTCCTAGCTGGTCTGGCTCAGTGGATAGAGCGTCAGCCTACAGACTGAAGGGTCCCAGGTTCGATTCTGGCCAAGGGCACATGCCCAGGTTGTGAGCTTGATCCCCACTAGATGGCGTGCAGGAGGCAGGTGATCAATGATTCATCATTAATGTTTCTCTCCATTCTCCAAAATCAATAAAACTATATTTAAAATAATTAAAACAAGTAGGCAGAGAGTATGTTACAGGCAGAGGGGGGAGCATTCCAGTCTGTGGAGAACGTTTGTGAATCCTAGTCCCTGTTGTGGCTAAACTACAATGCAAGGAACATGGAAGGTATTAAAAAGGCTCTGGTCTTGGAAGTAATGACATGGACTTGGCTGCCATGTGGAAGGAGCCTGGGAGGGAAGGAATGAGAAAGTGGCCTCCAGATGACCAGTGTGGTGCTTCTGCAATAGTCCGAGCAAGAGAATGCAAATGGAAAAATAGGTGAATGTGAGATTTAATTTGAAGATAGAAATCAAGTGGTCTTAGTGAAAAAGTATGAGAGAAGTTATTAGGTTAAAAAAAAGAAGTAAAGATACTTTCTAGCTTTCTGCCTGGGTACAGGGGTTCCCATCACCAAAGTAATCAAGAGTAGATTTGGGGTGTATCATCACAAGTTGTTTTAAAAAATATTCAACCAGACAAATACATGTGTGTTTGGTGCTCAGAGAACT